TACCAGCTCCTGATGTGTCATGGTATCTAAATGGACAACCAGTTCAATCAGATGATTTTCACAAAATGATAGTGTCTGAAAAGGGTTTTCATTCACTCATCTTCGAAGTGGTCAGAGCTTCAGATGCAGGGGCTTATACATGTGTTGCCAAGAATAGAGCAGGAGAAGCCACCTTTACTGTGCAGCTGGATGTCCTGGGTAAGCTTTCAAAGAGATCCTACAGAGCTCCTTAAAATTTTGTAGAATCAAAAAAGAAAGTGTTAAAAAAGAAAAACCCCAAGGACTTTATATTTAAGGTTAATGTCTATACTATACAACCCAGTAGAACACCAATTTCTATGTAAAAGCCACGGTGGGCAGGGGTTAGTGCTCTTGAGGGAAACTCAGTGAAACTAGAATGACAGAAGCTTTTCTGGAAGAGAAATAAAGGTAAAATTTCAGACAGACCAAAGAAGGTAGTATATTCTAGATATATTTCTAGATGTAGAGTAGATGTACAGTATTTGTAGATATGATTAAAGGGTCTTAATATGAAAATTTTTAGTCTAATCATTTATCTGGTCTACAGTCTAAAATAATCAATCTGACTCACATTTTCACAGAATTGCTATAATCACACATAGTTTAAAACTGAAGGGTAAATGTCAACTTTTAGCCTTAGACTATGTACTCTTTACCAGGAAACTAGTCTCTAATTATGACAACAAAAACATGCTTACTTACTTTAGAAAACAAGTATGGTAAAACTCATATCTCAAATTTGTCTCCAGTAGGGCAGTTCTCATAAAACTAATGTCCTGTCTTAAAATATTACAATTCAAGTGCTCTAAATATATCACATTTGCAATGACTTAAGCCACAATATACTGCATAAGTGATATTTTGCTATAATTCACTGCTTATTATATAAAAACTTGATCAAGTTCAAGGATGGGCAATCTTGAGTTTGTATTCTACCCAGATGAATGAAAAATCTTTAAGATTATTCTATGATATAATAAGGGCCCTCAGACTAAGGGAAAAACTAGTGATCTGGGAATTTATACACACACACACACACACAAGATCCAAGTGATTAAGCTTAGGGCAAATCCTTTCTGTGCCAATAGCTCCAAAAATACTGTAATGTTAGAGCTGAAAAAGACTTTGACAGGCATCCGTCCAATCTCCTTACACCTTCAGAAAAATTAGGGTTATAGTATTATAGTATCAGTTCCTCTTTTCCCTCAGGTATTTGAAGAAAACTAAAGACATAATTATTATTGGCATTTGTATATTATTTTATAGTTTACAAAGTGCGTCTTCATTCATTATCGCAATTGATCCTCACAATAATTTTGTGCTTTGGTGGGCACAGCAGTAACTATTTCTTGGGTATCACTTTACAAGAGATAAAATTTAGCCTCAGAGAAACTAAACGAAATTTTCCCCAACGTGGCATATGGCTGGTGGGGCAAACAGAATTCGAACCCAAGTTGCTAGTACTCTTTCCACCACTCATGCTGCCTCCCTATAGCTGAGATGATCTCAACTTGACTTAAATTCTTCCAATGAAACATGATTATAAATTCAACGCATCATTACACTACTGTTTTAGAACTATAAATAGTATACAATATACAACAGTTATTGCATATTATTTTAACTACAGCTGAAACATAAAGCTTCCAATCCTGTTGTTAGTGCTTTTTTAAACTTTTATATCAGCATACAAACTTCATAATACTTTGGTTTGACTTAATATTGTTTATAATATTTCAAATACGTGATTTTTTAATTAATATATAGCAAAAGAACATAGAAGAGCACCAATGTTCATCTATAAACCACAGAGTAAAAAAGTTTTTGAGGGAGACTCAGTGAAGCTAGAATGCCAAATCTCGGCTATACCGCCACCAAAGCTTTTCTGGAAAAGAAATAATGAAATGGTACAATTCAACACTGATCGAATAAGGTAGGATAAGTATTTCTAGACTTAACGATACTGTACTTGGGTGAATCCAGTTATACTTTGAAATGCATTATAAATGGCATGCATGTGTGACCTCAATTTGTCTAATTTTAGAAACATATAGATGAAACTAATACAATATTGTAAATCAACTATACTTCAACTTTTAAAATATATATAGAGAGAAATATAATAAGCCTCATTAAGCCAGATCCCACTAATCAGAAATTTAAGGGATAAAGTAGGCTAGGGTTTACCTTTTTACTAACAATAAAAGAAGATGGCTCAAGGACATATGATACAATCAAGACTGGGCAGATGTTTAATTAAAAAAAAACCCATAGCTATTTGGCAATGACTAGCTACAGACTCAGAATTTCCAAATGCTTTTTTTCTTCCCATTAGTCTAACTCTGTAGGTCACAGGCATCATAAATAAATTCTCACAGGAAAACTAATTCCTTTACTTTCAATTTTTCTTTCTTTCCAGTTTATATCATGATAACTCTGGAAGAGTTACTTTACTGATAAAAGATGTAAACAAGAAAGACGCTGGGTGGTATACTGTGTCTGCAGTTAATGAAGCTGGAGTGACCACATGTAACACGAGATTAGATGTTACAGGTATCTCACGCTGTTATACAGTGCTATGTCAAGTGTTATAAAGAACTTAACTGGAAAGATTTAATAAGAAACATAAATTCCAGCGTAGCATAAATTCTGAAGGATTCTCCCCATACATAATCAGTTTTGGTTTTTTTTACTCTCCCTGTCCGATAATGACTACCTAGTGCAACCCATTTGTTTAGGACAAGTTTTCTAAATTAACGTTTATTTGATCCATTTCAGCCTGTCCAAACCAAACTCCTCCAGCTCCTAAGCAGTTACGTGTCCGACCAACTTTCAGCAAATATTTAGCACTTAATGGGAAAGGTTTGGATGTGAAACAAGCTTTTAACCCTGAAGGAGAGTTTCAGCGTCTGGCAGCTCAATCTGGACTCTATGAAAGTGAAGAACTTTAATAACTCTACCAACATTGGAAAACACAACAACTACACTATTAGCAATATATTCAATTAAATTTTTGAAATAAATCCATAGCTGTATTAACAGATTATGGTTTTAATTAGGTAATACAACTAATATATATTTATAATGCGTTTATCCTTTGACTCTTGCACATTCTGTTTACCTCTCTGGTTTGTGAAGCCTACAGGAAATCTGGGTTTGTAATTGTAGATGAAGATCTTAAAAAATGTGGGATTTAAGTCATACACATTTTACAACTACAGGTTATAAATGAATATCAACGTTTTAAACATCTAATGCGTAATAAGATTTACTGGTACTGCTTTCTAAATACTGTTTTACCCGTTTTCTCTGATAGGAATAATAACATGGTATAGATTATCTGAGTGTTCCTTAGTTTTATGTCAAAAGAGAATAAAATTTCAAATATTTAAAACAGACTGTCTCCTCTTCACAAAAGTCTAGATCTTTAAGATAAAACTGCTGGTTTGTATCTATTAAGCGACACACAGCAAAACCTATGAATAACAAGTTCCAAGAGACCAACAATATTATACTCTAGAACAGCCTGTCTTGGTGAAGCTCACTTATAGCTAATTTCTCCAGAGAGGGAACTAGACTTCTTATGGTTTGCACTTCGAAGGCAACCAGAATAACTTAAACCATGACAGAATCTCTCCTGAAACTGTGATTTTGTTTTAACCAAATAGGTTTCTAATTAACATCTTTGAGTCTACTGAGCTCAATGGATTAAGAATAGACTGCAGAGTCATCTACCTAATTCTTATATTTAATGTAAATTTGAATACCTATATTTTGGGCTTTTTTCCTCCTACATTTCTAGCTCAGATAACCTACTACTTTAGAAAACAATTTTCCTAGCCTCTGAGAGTCCAAGTACAGGAAAGGGCAAATTCTTGTATTAAACTATTCTTAAGCTAGGCCAGTAGCCCTTTCTTCTTCTCAGGTCTCATCTCCACTGGCTGCTGGCCTTTTGCTAGACCTCTCCTATTCCTTTTATCATTGGTAGTCTTTGACCCTCGCTGCTATGTGGCCTAGTTTTCCTTTTTACCTGACATGAACAGCATTTATCAACATCACCCTACATCTCTTTCGGAGAAATAACAAAAGTGGCTTTATTTTTTACTTTCAAAACAGCTTGAAGGGTTTCTTAGCTGGCTACCCTGGGGCTTTCCACTGAATTCCTTTTTTATTTTCCTTTTTACCAACCTAAGAATCCCTGCCCCCCTCCCCCCCCTCATATTCTGGCGGGCTTATGGATGCCTTAATTTACAACCAAATTTGGCCTTTTCTATAGCTGGTTTATAAACCTTCTCACTTTTGCAAAGCTGCTGGGTCAGATGTGAGTCTGGGCTCCCAAAGACTACTGTTTTGGCCTACGCTTTTACATTATCACTGCAGAACTTTTTTTTTCTTTTTTTAATCTATTTCAACGTTCTCTTAAGCCATATTGGGTGGAAAGAGGGGTGGAAGCTATTTCCAGCAACAGCTCTCGATTACTAATAATCAGTATCTGCAAGCTGCAGCGGCAGAGTGGGGTCTTGGTTACAAATTCGGGCTTCGGCGTCGAGCAAACCTTGCCCCAACGGGCCTTTGGTAAGTAATTTATTCTCCTCAGTCTCTTCAGGTCTAAAACGAGGACAAAACACATACCTTTCAGGAAAGGGCGGTGTGAAGACTAAACAAGCCAAAAGATGTTAAAAGTCAAGAATGGGTGGCCCATTATAATTAATTACTACGATTTTTATGATTAACCCCAGGCCTAAAGCCAGTTTTGCCCTAGAAGTCGGTCCTCCGCAGGAGACAAACGCCACCACGCTCAGGCCCGCCTCACGCAAAGCCTTTCCCTAAAGGCCTCGGTGCGCAGGCGCGCTGGCATCTTCTAGCGCCGCTTGCTCCCGTTGTGGAGCCTGGGGCTCGCGCAGGCGCATGAGCTAGGCGCGCACCGTGTGAGTATCGCGCAGGCGCCGCCAGCCTGGGGAGGCGAACGGGCGTTTGCCATGGCTGAGGCGTCCCGGTGGCACCTAGGCGGTGAGGGGTGCCTCTAGGGAGTGGGTGGGGCAGAGCAGAATGGGCAATTGCAAATATCCTGCAAGGAAGTCTGTAGCCCCACGTGTATTCACGTGAGAGATGACCTCCAGAACGGTTAGCCGTCGCAGCCTCCCCTTGAGAAGCGGAGAGGGACTGTGGACCCATTTCACAGACAGGAAAAGTGAAGCCCTGAGGGAACATCTTGCCCCTTGCCGGAAGCTGGAGCTGGGCGCTGCCACATGCTGTATAGTGGCCTTCTCTAGGCCGGCCTTAGAAGGCCTTTGTTGATCTAGGGAGTAGTGGCCTTGGCAGAACCCCAGGCTGAGTCCTTTTACCCGCTCCAGCAGGAGCCAGCCATCACAAGAAGCAGAGTTAACAGGAGGAGAAAACGATTAGGGATAGAGGAGGGGGTTTTGTTTGCTTTGTATTTTGCTTTTTCAGTTTAAAACAAGACTGGTGAGGAAACATCCGGGTTATAAAATTCATTATATACGGTCATAAAATGATTGCCCACTATCACCATGGGAAAATGTTAGTAATTAGTCCTTCTTCATAAAAGTGAGAGTAAAAACATAACCAGAAGCCATTGGAGCTTTCCTTCACACAGTGTAAACAGCTAAAAGCGCCTGTGTTTTTCCATCCCTATTAGTTATATATATTATAAATTAAGGAAAATTTTTGTTTTATATCTCACAGGAACTCCAAAACATAAGCTGCATTACAGAAAGGAAGTAGAAATGAGAACCACACTTCAGGAGTTCTTACTCTACCTTATTTTTTTAATAAACTTATGTATATGTAAGTACACAGATGTAGATGAAGACACTGTTTGAACTAAGAAGTTATGTGCAGATGAAAAACAAAACGTATGGATTTTATAAAACCATAGGCTTTCAGACTACTGAAACCTCTCAAAAAATAATGACACATTTTAAACATCTTAAATTCATTTAGGTTGACATTATTTCCAATTCTTAAGGGGCACAACTTTAGGTCACAGAAGTAATAAAAAGCTTTCATAGTCAACACTGATTTAATTAATTATTCCTTTCTGTTGGCAGTTCTGTCTTGAATATAATTATTCCCTTGAGTTGCCAATTCATGATTTCTTTTAGAGCGATACAGATACATTAGCTTTGCTCTAGTTTCATAGGTCAAACTACAAATGAGGCCTAAGAAGTTAGTCTTGATGTCTGCTTTGTTCTTTTCCCTGGCCTGTTACAGAGTTAATAGTAAAATATGCTAGTTCCGAGTCACAGAAGATATGAATCAATGCAGATCTTTAGGGAGGACCAGGAAAACATCTCAACCTACATTCCTCCTATCTGTGGGTCAATATCATTGACTTAATCAGTATTAAAGAGCATTTTGTCTTTACAGCACCCAACATATAGTAGATGCAAGCTCACTGACTGGACTTATGTTGGTACAGCATACATAGTGGCAATTATATATTGGTTAACTAATTAATTGGTATTGTAGGGGTGAGCTTGAGTCAGATTTGGATTAAAAAGACAGCTTTAGCCAATCTTATAAATTAAGATATTTTAGATTGCTTTTTAAGTGCTTATTACAAACCATTTGGGGAGTGGAAAAATATTTAAAGGTCACTCAAAATCCCATTATTCAGGGATTTTTTTTAAAAAACACCTTTTCATAATTAGGAAAAGTTGGAAACAAATCTCCAACAGGATTTGTTTAATTTTCGGTATATACAGTGAAATACTATGCAACGTTAAAGAATGGCATAGGCTCATGTGTGCCATGGAATGATGTTGAAAATATATTATTTCTAAAAATAAAGGCCTTCTAGCAAAAAAAAAAAAAGCACCCACCCACCCCTAGGAAGAGTGAGAACAAATACTAGTTAATGTTCTTCTCAATCTTATCATGTGCCAAAACATAGTTTTAAATGTTCCACATGAATTATCTCACTTACTTCTCATAACAAAACTATGAGATAGGAAATATTATCCCTATGGTGGGACTCAAACCATTATCTGTTTGATTTTAAAGTTCATAGCCTAAACTACTCCCTATATTATGTTGCCTACTCTCAATATTGGGAACAAAAAAACCCATCTTGCAGAATAGTATGTATAATGTGATCTCAGTTTTATAAAAATAAAGTTATTTTCTCTGTAAGTATGTATGCATTTAGAAAAATCTGAAGAATATATGCCAATCCTAATTCTAGCAGTGGGATTACAGGAAGCTTCTTCCTGTTTTGTATATTTCTATTTTAGTTTTTTTTATTATTGCTCTTAAAATTAGAAAAATAAAATTGAATTTTCCAAACAAAATTGAGAACAAATTACAAGTACATTTTTAATCCTGATAAAAATTGTGTTTTTAAATGTAAATTTTTAAACAAAAAATTCTTCTCCTTAGTGACTTTTGGGATGGTAAACCCACATATGTATTACTTAAACAAAGTTATGTCATCTCTATTTTTGGACACGTCTGTGCATGGTGAAGAAAGAATCAACTTTAAGTCTATTCGCAGCATAACTGACTTTTGGAAGGTAAGATGTCATGTGACTTTGGATGAAGTAGCTTTAGGCATTGCATAAACAAGCCCTTGGCACACATAGTAGGCACTTGATACATATTTATTGAAGGAATGAATAAAAATGTCATTTCTTTAAACTATTGGAATCAATCAACCACTAAGTGTTTATTGAGAACCTGTGTTCTCAGTGTGATAGAGTTCCTATAACTTTAAAAAAGTGATATTTGTTTTTTTAACATTATCTTTGTATTTGGGAAATAGATTTCTTATGTGGGAGTTAGGATCCAAAGTCAGTCTAAAATTGTATACAGTGAAAATTACCGTTAAAAATTCCTTAAATTGGGCTTCACTGGTGGCTCAGTGGTTGAGAGTACACCTGCCGATGTAGGGGACACAGGTTCATGCCCTGGTCCGGGAAGATCCCACATGCCGTGGAGCGGCTAGGCCCGTGAGCCATGGCCGCTGAGCCTGCGCGTCCGGAGCCTGTGCTCCACAACGGGAGAGGCTATAACAGTGAGAGGCTGCGTACCACAAAAAAAAAAAAAAAAATTCCTTAAATTGCCCATAAATTAAAATATATGTGATTTTGGTGTACAGGCCTGTACTCGTGTGTGTGTTACAGTAATGTACAGTATATAATAAAGAGTACATTTACAAAATATAATTTTATAGTGTTTTTAATTGCATAAGAGTATCATTCCTTAAGCATTAGAACAGACTTGTTTTTTCTGTTACACTTAGCAAGATGTTCACATTATGAGGAAAGAACAATTAAAGGAACAGCAGTTTCAGGTATCCCATGTCACAAACATTGGGACATACAAGGAAGAGGTAGGGAAGGCTTTCCAGAGGTGATCACAATTCAGTTGAGTTTTAAAGGATGAGTAACAGAAGACCATCCTAGGAAGAAAAAACGATATGTACTATAAGTAATTCATCATGTTGAACTATGTTTGGCATTATAGGCATATAGGAGATGAGGTGGAAAAGACCAAACTATGAATTGAACAGAGGTCTAATCATGAATGCCAAGCTAGGAATTTGAAACTTATCAAGGAGACAATGTCATTTCCTGAGAGTGAGAGAAGTGTGAGATAAGGCAAATGATTAGAAGTCATTGGTTTAGGCCAAGTGAAATATGAAAGAATGATAGGAAATTTTCCCTGAGACAAGAAGTGGAGCCCAACTGCTGCTTTTTTACTGTGCTGTCTTGAGGTATGTACGTGGCCAATGGCAAGTAAGACAAAGGCAGGAAAGAAAAAAATGAACCCTAGGCTTAGGATCTCTTAGAAGGAGCACGTAGTGACAGAGACAGAAGCAGTCACCACCGCCAGAGTTGGAGAGGAAAGGGGGGACACAGATAACTCCGAGGTGAAGTCATGAATTGTGGCTATGACCAGTCCTGATATTCATGTATTGGGGGAGAGTTTTCAGTATACCCCTCGGAGAAGAAGGGTTATGGAACTAAATGAGTTAATACCCGTAAAGTGCTTAGAGCAGTACATAGTAAGTACTCAGGAAATGTTAACCATTTTCGTTATCATCATCAACATCATCATTTACCATTACCATTATTAATAGTGGCTTGGCTAAAATCACTGATTTTTATATTCTTATGGATAACATTATGAATGTAGATTCTGTTATACACTTGACATGAAATATTTTTCCCATAACATTTATTTTTCTATATGAAGTTTATGGAAGGACCCCTTTTGGAAGGCCTGTACTGGGACTCATGGTACAATAACAAGAATTTGTATGACTTAAAGAACAGCAGTCGCATCTACTATGAGAACATACTTTTAGGAGTCCCCAGAGTCCGTCAACTAAAAGTCCGCAACAACACGTGCAAGGTCCATTCATCCTTTCAGTCCTTGATGAATGAATGTTATGACAAATACACTTCTGAAAATGAAGATCTGTCTGATTTTGGCCTTAAATATGATACTGAGTAAGTAGTATAAAATTACACGTAACTTTTTCTAGCAGTTACCATTGTATCTTCAAACAACTGTGAAAACATATTTATTTTCCAAATAATACCAACAGGGGCCTGGCAGGTAAGGAGACTGTTTCAGTAATAGTATCAAAGGAAGACTCCGAGATGCAGTGTTTAGAAAAGGAAGAGTAAACCTGTGGGGTTTTTTGGAGTTTTTTTTGCGGTACGCGGGCCTCTCACTGTTGTGGCCTGTCCCGTTGCAGAGCACAGGCTCAGGACGCGCAGGCTCAGTGGCCATGGCTCACGGGCCTAGCCGCTCCGCGGCATGTGGGATCTTCCTGGACCGGGGCACGAACCTGTGTCCCCTCCATCGGCAGGCAGACTCTCAACCACTGTGCCACCAGGGAAGTCCACAATCTGTTATTTTTTTGTTTACTAAAGGATGTGAAGTGTTTTTTTTCCAACTGTGGTAAATGAAGTGCTAAGTCATATTGGACACAGGGCAAAGTGCCCATTTTTGCTTTTACAAAACTCAATCAGCTTTTCTGGCTCTGGCAAGATGCCCTCAAACACATTCCAAATGCTTCTTGGGATCCCTAGGGAGTGTCTTTGGTGTAGTCTGTTGCTTTCTTACTCTGGCTTACTTCAGTGATATCTTCTATTGTTGCCAATGTTGAAAAGGGGCAGTTATGTTTTACAGACACTGCATCTGATGATACCTGCCAAAGATCTTATGGCCTTTGTTCTCCAAAGTGGCTGAGGCTAATGCTAGTATAGACTCACGTCTACACTTTATATTGAAAATGTAAAAGCCCAAAGCCACTGACACTACCTCCCCTTAACACAGAAGCTGCTGGTATCATTGCTTTTAAGGTCATATGAAAATCATAGAGGCAAAAAATATATCTTTTTTAAAATTTGATATTTATCAGTGATGAAATATTTACAAAGTCCACCCTTTCCTACTCATAATTCCCACTCCAGAAGCAGCCACTTTTAGTTGTTTCTTCTTGTATATACTTCCTATTTCTGAATAATATGCTTATACTATTACTTGATTTTATAGTTTTATATATCTATTGTCTCTGTCATGGAAAGTGTCTGTCACATATCCCTCTTATGCCACTCCCTCCACATACACACTTCCTGTTCCTCTTAGCCTGTAGTTATACCATAATTTTTGTTAATCATTAGTCGATGTTTATTTTATAAATATGAACAGTGATTACATTTCCTTTCTTGAACAGCTACCTCTCTACCCCGAGGATTGATCATTGCTTTGTGGGTTTTGTTGACTTATTTTTTCTTTCTATGAGTTTTGGGTGTTCTTGAGGGCAACAAAGTGCTTGTATAATTCTTATAAACCTAATAAATTCATAAGTATGGTGACACATTCTCTTAAATATTATACTATTATAACAGTACTACACACTATTTCCCTTTCAATGAAAAATTACAAGATAAGTCAACTATTAATTACACATTTAAATTTGATCTCACGACTAATCTGTTAGGTATTCTAATATTCCAAATTTTCATAACAACTACAAATAATTTAAATACCAAAATTAACATTATGGATTTAGAATTTTAATACGTGTCATTTCCTGACAAACAAAATAAGAATCAATTTGTGCTTGTTTTTCTTTCTAAAATGTAACATTCATTAATTAAAACCAGTATAAAAAATTGGAAGTAGGAGAGGGTTGGTGTAATAAATGTTCTTGTTTCAGTTTAACAATCATATGGAAAATGCTCAAACACACAACTATGGAATTTTCATTAAAAATGAGTATTTTATCTTAGTGTTGTCACTTTTCTCTGCTGAAAACAAACATGGTGTTACTAACAGAAAAACAAGTTTAAGCAGAGCATCTTTGGATAATTGTTCAGGTCTGTTTTAGGAGATGAATAGGGACTGAAATGAAGAATCAAACCTTTACTTTTTGATATTGCATAACTAAGTTAAAAGTAGAAAGAATGGAAACAAAATTTAGTTATACAGATTTTACTTTGTGTACTTGCCTTAAAATAAGATACCTATATAACAATATAGACATTGTAACAAAGTTTTTATTTATTGGGCATTTATAAATGGTATATGATTGTTACAACACAGACTGTGAAGCATCTTTTTCCCCCATACTGAGACAGATATTTCTGAATCAAAACCCTGGATATTTTTGTCCTACTCAAAGACTAAAGATATGGTAAGATAACAGAGACAACATGTTAAAGAAAAAATCCGTCATTATTTTCTAGATTTCAAGTTCCCTGAGGCAACAGATGGATTAAAAATTTTTTTTCTAATAGCATGTAGTCCAGTGTGTTGCCCACAATAAGCACTAAACAATGAAAACATATTCAATCTTAATCCTTTTAGCTTAATCCTTAACTCACCATCTTGCTTCAAAATTACTATAATACTTATGAACTTAGTACTTTTTTTTTAACTACTACTTTCAACCAAAGGTTAACTTAAATTCTTAGATACTTCTCCGTCAGGCTTTCTCATCTCTCCATTATTCTTTTTATATCTAACAGATGGAAGTACTCTGCTCCTGTTATCAACTCCCCTTGGCATTGGGGATTTACTGGTGTTTACCGAAATGGGGGATATATTTTCACTTTATCAAAATCAAAATCTGAAACCCTAAACAAGTTCATTAATCTTCGAATGAACAGCTGGATCACAAGAAGCACTAGAGTTATTTTTATTGATTTTTCATTATACAATGCTAATGTAAATCTGTTTTGCATCATCAGGTGAGTTACTCGAAACCTCTTATTAGTATACTGAATTTAAAAGGCACCCAGAGCCCTCATTAGGGTTTCCAGTTTGTGCATGTTTGTAGTGAGATTAAAATCATAAGCTCCAAAATAAATATAATATAATTCTTCCAATAATGATAAAGAAGAAAGAGCAACATCATATTCAGTGTTTCAGGATATATTCCAGAACATGGAGAATTACATACAATAGGTTAGTTTTATATTGCTTAAGAATATGTAGTCTTATTTATTGCCATTCTGCAGTTGGACATATCTAACATTTAGTCCTAATGATTTCTTCCTTTAAATCAGATCATTCAAATCTGTTGATTTCCCTTCAGAATGAGCTTCTTTATTAAGTTACTCATTTTTGTCTCAAGAATAAACAATTTAAAATTCAAACAATATATAACAGTAGCCAGCATCCTAGAAATGATTACAGCCGACGGTGATTTGCAAAAATGGCCCCAGTTCTTCACATCTTTGCCATGTATATTTGCAGTGCCCTGTCACCCAGGGCAGGGTGCACTGCCCCAGAACTTGATACTGGGTTCAACCGGGTGACTTTCTTTGGTCAATGAAATGTCAGCAGATATGATACAAGCAGAAGCTTGAAAAGGGTTTGTAAATTAAAACTTGCTCTCTTGCACTTCTGCTATTGCATGAGAAGGACATGCCTGGGCTAACCTGTTGGACCCAAGAAAAAGATGACAGACATCCCCTCTCACAAGGAGGAGGACAGAGAACCAAGCAAAGAGAAAAAATTATTTCTGTAGGTCTGATTACCTTAGGTAATCTGCCTAACCTGGACCATGCTATTTGGCTTAGGCCCGGGTTCTAGAATCAAACACTGTCAAAGCAAATAGGATTACTGAGATTGAATCTGCCTGGGGATTGAATTGGCTTCTGCAAAGGGATCTGAGAATGGGTGAATACCTGATACAATTAGGGTTCTGTTAGAAAGGAGGAATGGGATAATGAACGCTAGACAGGCAAACAATAGTGTCCACTAAGTCTCAGTGAGCCACTTTTTTCTCATGAGTCTTACATTTTTACTCTGGAATATGGAATTGGCATTTACTCTGATAGGGGAATTTTTCCCCTGTGCAACATTGATGGTGAAACATAATCATGGCCTTTAAAATTTGTAAAAATGAAAACAAATGAATTACCATCAGCAGTCAATGGACATTTTACCTTTTATGTTATAGTATTTTCTTTCAGGGAATCAGCTTCTTACCAACATTATCCACCCTTTCCGATAGTCCTGGTAGGGATAAAGTGAAGAATACAAATCATTTCTATGTCCTAAATAAGAGTAGAAACAGTGGGGTAATTGGCTTAAAGTCATATGAAGAACTCCTTGTAATACTACATTAAGTCCATATTTTCTGTCTCTAGGTTTTGTGCTTATTCTATGTTACCTTTAATTTTTTTCCATATTTATTTATTTATTTGTCTCTGCTGGGTCTTAGTTGTGGCATGCAGACTCCTTAGTTGCAGCGTGCATGTGGGATCTAGTTCCCCCACCAGGGATCGAACCCAGGCCCCCTGCATTGGGAGCACAGAGTCTTACCCACTGGACCACAAGGGAAGTCCCATCTATGTTACCTTTTAAAATGTTATTTCTTAGAAACTTTAGCAGATTTTAAAACTTTTAACTGGTAGTATATCTAATCAGTAGTTGTATGGGAGCATACTGCTTACACTAAGACCTTATCCACTTACTTTCCCTTTGTACACATATCTGGCAAACTAAACTGAATACTCATCATTTTTTGCTTTTTGTTTACTAGTCTACACTTCAGATCAAAATACTGAGTTTCTTTCACTTCACTCACTTACTCAACATTGTGCACATACTATACGCAAGGTGAAAAAACAAATTCCTGTTTTCTATTTGTTCACTGGTTGTTTTATTCTTGTTTTTGGTGGTTTTTTGCTTTTTGGGCCACACCTTATTCCAGTACCAATAAGATTTGCTAATATCTTTAGGTTGGAATAATTTCATTATGGCATTGTGATAGAGATGCTGGTTCCTTAAATTACTGTCAATTCTCAATTATCTGCAGTTGTGGAGAACACTAGAAATACAGTGAACTGCCTCAAAATCTTTTTATATTTAGTATTGGAATTAATTTTTATATTTCTATTTGCATATAGATCTTTGTATCCAACATCCAGTGCCTAAAGTTAAACAGAAAACATTTGCTTTAGTAAAATATGTTATCTTGACATTTAGAAGCAAGAAGTATCTCTGATAAGCTAAAGGGGCAGAGTGTATTTCCCTCCTCTGAAATATTAAAAAATTATGAATTTGGGGGGGGGGGGGTCCTGACTAATAACAGTAACTAACAGTATATCATGTTCTTGAACATCATCTTATTCTCCTGTAGGGATAAATTAGTATCCCCGTTATGAATGAGCAATCAAAACACAGAGTAAAATGAATGTCTAGCTAAAAATCACATCTTTCTTTCTCATTTACATTGGTCTTTGACCACTGGGAATTTTCAGAGTACCAAAAAAAGTGGAGCATTAAAAAAGAAGTAATGGAGGAAGTAACGTCACGCCAAGGGCACTGGCTCCCAGAGGCAGAGGCAGGAGTTGGGGGGCTAGGGCTCTTTGGCACCTAGGTTGAAACTAGTTTTGTGTGTCTGAGGTCTCAGCTGGGAGACTTGAAGACTGGGTCTGTGATCATCTGAAGGCTCATCCACTCACAAGTTGAGTGGTGATGCTGATGGGTGCTGAGGAACTCCATGTGATATTTTCACATGGATGAGTTTGCACTTCCGAAGAGCATTGTAGATGAATTTGAAAGGGTGAAGACTAGAAGTAGATTTGCAATATTTTCCTTTGGCAGAACAGAATTCCATTAGAGCAACTTGCATTGTTAGAGAGAGGAGAGAGAGAGAAGCCTCGTTTGTTGACGTCACTTGGTTCATGAAGCCTTCACCTAGAAGTGAAGCGGCTGAACAAACCTTGAGAAGAATCATCTCCTGCTTCAATCTGCTGCTGGATAGGAACTAATCAGAGAGAGAGAGAGGCAGAAGACGGAGAGGATGGCGTCCAAGCCTTTCGTGATCACAAATCTCACCTCCACTCCAATTCCCTTTATACTTTTCTTGCAAAAATAATAATATAAATAAGGAGGTGGTGGGGTTTCCAAAAACAAAAATCGTAACATTCAACCATCTGGGGAAGGCAAAAATCCCATCCACCTCAACTCTCAGTTCGAAAGTAAAGTTGTACCGCACACAATCAGGATGTTACTTAAGAGTGCTCTTAAAAGAACATGTGGGGCTTCCCTGGTGGTGCAGTGGTTGAGAGTCCACCTGCTGATGCAGGGGACATGGGTTCATGCCCCGGTCCAGGAAGATCCAACATGCCGCGGAGCGGCTAGGCCTGTGAGCCATGGCTGATGAGCCTGCGTGTCTGGAGCCTGTGCTCCACAACGGGAGAGGCCACAACAGTGAGAGGCCCGCATACCGCAAAAAAAAAAAAAAGAACATATGGTGTGTGGCTGAGAGGGTCATGGTGCTCTGGCCAGGTGTCAGGCCTGTGACTCTGAGGTGGAAGAGCCAAGTTCAGCACATTGGTCCACCAGAGACCTCCTGGCTCCACATAATATCAAACGGTGAGAGCCCTCCCAGAGATCTCCATCTCAATGCTAAGACCCAGCTCCACTCAATGACCAGCAAGCTATAGCACTGGACACCATGTGCCAAACAACTCGCAAGACAGGAACACAACTCCACCCATTAGCAGAGAGGCTGCCTAAAATCATAATAAGGTCACAGACACCCCAAAACACACTACCAGACGTGAATCTGCCCACCAGAAAGACAAGATCTAGCCTCATCCATCAGAACACAGACACAAGTCCCCTCCACCAGGAAGCCTATACAACCCACTGAAATAACCTTAGCCACTGGGAGCAGACACCAAAAACAACGGGAACTACGAACTTGCAGCCTGCAAAAAGGAGACCCCAAACACAGTAAGTTAAGCAAAATGAGAAGACAGAGAAACACACAGCATATGAAGGAGCAAGGCAAAAACCCACCAGACCAAACAAAGGAAGAGGAAATAGGCAGTCTGCCTGAAAAAGAATTCAGAGTAATGATACAAAAGATGATCCAAAATCTTGGAAATAGAATGGAGAAAATACAAGAAACGTTTAACAAGGACCTAGAAGAACTAAAGAGCAAACAAACAATGATGAACAACACAATAAATGAAATTTAAAATTCTCCAGAAGGAATGAATAGCAGAATGAGGCAGAATGGATAAGTGACCTGGAAGATAAAATAGTGGAAATAACTACTGCAGAACACAATAAAGAAAAAAGAATGAAAAGAATTGAGGACAGTCTCAAAGACCTCTGGAACAACATTAAATGCACCAACATTCAAATTATAGGGGCCCCAGAAGAAGAAGAGAAAAAGAAGGAACTGAGAAAATATTTGAAGAGATTATAGTTGAAAACTGTCCTAATATGGGAAAGGAAATTGTCAATCAGGTCCAGGAAGCAGAGAGAGTCCCATACAGGATAAATCCAAGGAGAAACACACCAAGACACATATTAATCAAACTATCAAAAATTAAATACAAAGAAAAAATATTAAGAGCAGCAAGGGAAAAATAACATAAAAGGGAATCCCCATAAGGTTCACAGCGGATCTTTCAGCAGAAACTCTGCAAGCCAGAAGGGACTGGCAGGACATATTTAAAGTGATGAAAGGGAAAAACCTACAACCAAGATTACTCTACCCAGCAAGGATCTCATTCAGATTCAACAGAGAAATTAAAACCTTTACAGACAAGCAAAAACTAAGAGAATTCAGCACCACCAAACCAGCTTTACAACAAATGCTAAAGGAACTTCTCTAGGCAGGAAACACAAGAGAAGGAAAAGACCTACAATAAGAAAGCAAAACAATTAAGAAAATGGTAATAGGAACATACATATCGATAACTACCTTAAATGTAAATGGATTAAATGCTCCACCAAAAGATATAGACTGGCTGAATGGATACAAAAACAAGACCCATATATATATGCTGTCTACAAGAGACCCCCATCAGACCTAGAGACACATACAGACTGAAAGTGAGGGGAGGGAAAAAGATATTCATTGAAAATGGAAATCAAAGAAAGCTGAAGTAGCAATTCTCATATCAGACAAAATAGACCTTAAAATAAAGACTATTACAAGAGACAAAGAAGGACACTACATAATGATCAAGGGATCAATCCAAGAAGAAGATATAACAATTGTAAATCTTTATGCACCCAACATAGGAGCATGTCAATACATAACGCAAATGCTAACAGCCATAAAAGGGGAAATTGACAGTAACACAATCATAGTAGGGGACTTTAACAACCCACTTTCACCAATGGACAGATCATCCAAAGTGAAAATAAATAAGGAAGCACAAGCTTTGAATGCTACGTTAAACAAGATGGACTTAATTGATATTTATAGGACATTCCATCCAAAAACAACAGGATACACTTTCTTCTCAAGCGCTCATGGAACATTCTCCAGGATACATCATATCTTGGGGCCCAAATCAAGCCTTTGTAAATTTAAGAAAATTGAAATCATATCAAGTATCTTTTCTGACCACAACGCTATGAGAGTAGATATCAATTACAGAAAAAAATCTGTAAGAAATACCAACACATGGAGGATAAACAATACACTACTTAATAGCCAAGAGATCACTGAAGAAATCAAACAGGAAATAAAAAAATACCTAGAAACAAATGACAGTGAAAACAGGACGACCGAAAACCTATGGGATGCAGCAAAAGCAGTTCTAAGAGGGAAGTTTATAGCAATACAATCCTACCTCAAGAAACAAGAAACGCCTCAAATAAACAACCTAATCTTACACCTAAAGCAATTAGAGAAAGAAGAACAAAAAAAGACCCCAAAGTTAGCAGAGGAAAGAAATCATAAAGATCAGATCAGAAATAAATGAAAAAGAAATGAAGGGAAAAATAGCAAAGATCAATAAAACTAAAAGCTGGTTCTTTAAGAAGATAAACAAAATTGATAAACCATTAGCCAGACTCACCAAGAAAAAAAGGGAGAAGACTCAAATCAATAGAATTAGAAATGAAAAAGAAGAAGTAACAACTGACACTGCAGAAATACAAAGGATCATGAGAGATTACTACAAGCAACTATACGCCAATAAAATGGACAACCTGGAAGAAATGGACAAATTCTTAGAAAAGCACAACCTCCGAGACAGAAACAGGAAGAAATAGGAAATATAAACAGACCATTTACAAGCACTGAAATTGAGACTGTGATTAAAAATCTTCCAACAAACAAAAGCCCAGGACCAGACTGATTCACAGGCAAATTCTATCAAACACGTAGAGAAGAGCTAACACCTATCTTTCTCACACTCTTCCAAAATACAGCAGAGAGAGGAAGACTCCCAAACTCATTCTACGAGGCCACCATCACCCTAATACCAAAACCAGACAAAGATGTCACAAAGAAAGAAAACTACAGGCCAATATCACTGATGAACATAGATGCAAAAATCCTCAACAAAATAATAGCAAACAGAATCCAACAGCACATTAAAGGATCATATACCATGATCAAGTGGGGTTTATCCCAGGAATGCAAGAATTCTGCAATATATGCAAATCAATCAATGTGATAAACCATATTAACAAATTGAAGGAGAAAAACCATATGATCATCTCAATAGATGCAGAAAAAGCTTTCAACAAAATCAACACCCATTTATGATAAAAACCCTCCAGAAAGTAGGCATAGAGGGAACTTTCCTCAACATAATAAAGGCCATATATGACAAACCCACAGCCAACATCGTTCTCAATGGTGAAAAACTGAAACCATTTCCTCTAAGATCAGGAAGAAGACAAGGTTGCCCAGTCTCACCACTATTATTCAACAGAGTTTTGGAAGTTTTATCGATAGCACTCAGAGAAAAAAAAGAAATAAAAGGAATCCAAAACAGAAAAGAAGAAGTACAGCTGTCACTGTTTGCAGATGACATGATACTATACATAGAGAATCCTAAAGATGCTACCAGAAAACTACTAGAGCTAATCAATGAATTTGGTAAAGTAGCAGGATACAAAATTAATGCACAGAAATCTCTTGCATTCCTATACACTAATGATGAAAAATCTGAAAGAGAAATTAAGGAAACACTCCCATGTACCACTGCAACAAAAAGAATCAAATACCTAGGAATAAACCTACCTAAGGAGACAAAAGACCTGTATGCAGAAAACTATAAGACACTGATGAAAGAAATTAAAGATAATACAAATAGACGGAGAGATATACCATGTTCTTGGATTGGAAGAATCAACACTGTGAAAATGACTATACTACCCAAAGCAATCTACAGACTCAATGCAATCCCTATCAAACTACCAATGGCATTTTCACAGAACTAGAACAAAAAATTTCACAATTTGTATGGAAACACAAAAGACCCCGAATAGCCAAAGCAATCTTGAGAAAGAAAAACGGAGCTGGAGGAATCAGGCTCCTGGACTTCAGACTATACTACAAAGCTACAGTAATCAAGATAATATGGTATTGGCACAAAAACAGAAATATAAATCAATGCAACAGTATAGAAAGCCCAGAAATAAACCCACGCACATGTAGTCACCTTTTTTTTTTTTTTTCTTTTTTTTGCGGTACACGGGCCTCTCACTGTTGTGGCCTCTCCCGTTGCAGAGCACAGGCTCCAGACGCGCAGGCTAGCAGCAAAGGCTCATGGGCCCAGCCGCTCCGCGGCATGTGAGATCTTCCCGGACCAGGGCAAGAACCTGCATTGGCAGGCGGATTCTCAACCACTGCGCCACCAGGGAAGCCCTGGTCACCTTATTTTTGATAAAGAAGCAAAGAATATACAATGGAGAAAAGACAGCCTCTTCAATAGTGGTGCTGGGAAAACAGGACAGCTACATGTAAAAGAATGAAATTAGAACACTCCCTAACACCATACACAAAAATAAACTCAAAATGGATTAAAGACCTAAATGTAAAGCCAGACACTGTAAAACTCATAGAGGAAAACATAGGCAGAACATTCTATGACATAAATCACAGCATGATCCTTTTTGACCCACCACCTAGACAGATGGAAATAAGAACAAAAATAAACAAATGGGACCTAGTGAAACTTAAAAGCTTTTGCACAGCAAAGGAAAACATAAACAAGACAAAAAGAGAACCCTCAGAATGGGAGAAAATATTTGCAAATGAAGCAACTGACAAAGGATTAATCTCCAAAATATACAAGCAGCTCATGCTGCTCGATATCAAAAAAACAAAAACCCAATCCAAAAATGGGCAGAAGACCTAAATAGACATTTCTCCAAAGAAGATACACAGATTGCCAACAAACACATGAAACGATGCTCTACATCACTAATCATTAGAGAAATTCAAATCAAAACTACAATGAGGTATCACCTCACACCAGTCAGAACAGCCATCATCAAAAATCTAAAAACAATAAATGCTGGAGAGGGTGTGGAGAAAGGGGAACCCTCTTGCACTGTTGGTGGGAATGTAAATTGATACAGACACTATGGAGAACAGTATGGAAGTTCATTAAAAAACTAAAAATAGAACTACCATATGACCCAGCAATTCCACTCTTGGGCATATACCCTGAGAAGACCATAATTCAAACAGAGTCATGTACCACAATGTTCATTGCAGCTCTATTTAAAATAGCCAGGACATGGAAGCAACCTAAGTGTCCATTGACACATGAATGGATAAAGAAGATATGGCACAGGGCTTCCCTGGTGGCACAGTGGTGAGAGTCCGCCTGCCGATGCAGGGAACACGGGTTTGTGCCCCGGTCCGGGAAGATCCCACGTGCTGCCGAGTGGCTAGGCCCATGAGCCATGGCCGCTGAGCCTGCGCGTCTGGAGCCTATGCTCCACAATGGGAGAGGCCACAACAGTGAGAGGCCCACGTACCGAAAAAAAAAAAAAAAAAGATGTGGCACATATATACAATGGAATATTACTCAGCCATAAAAAGAAACAAAATTGAATTATTCAATTCAATTGAGGTAGGTGGACCTAGAATCTGTCATACAGAGTGAAGTAAGTCAGAAAGAGAAAAACAAATTCCGTATGCTAACACATATATATGGAATCTAAAAAGAAACAAAAAAATTGTTCTGAAGAACCTAGGGGCAGGACAGGAATAAGGATGCAGACATAGAGAATGGACTTGAGGACATGGGGAGGGGGAAGGGTAAGCTGGGACGAAGTGAGAGAGTGGCATGGACATATATACACTACCAAATGTAAAATAGCTAGTGGGAAGCAGCCGCATAGCACAAGGAGATCAGCTCAGTGCTTTGTGACCACCTAGAGGGGTGGGATAGGGAGGGTGGGAGGGAGATGCCAGAAGGAGGGGAATTGGGGATATATGTATCTGTATAGCTGATTCACTTTGTTATACAGCAGAAACTAACACAACATTGTAAAGCAATTACACTCCAGTAAAGATGTTAAAAAAAATAGTAATGAATTGAGCCCATAACCCTGAGAAAACATATTTTGTACAAAATAACTGATTAAAGTACACAACATCACTGACTAGAAATTTCAATCACGTTAGGTACTGAAATATAAATCCTTGAAATGCAGTGACTTTCACAAACCTCATTTTACAGATTGGTGGCAGAATTCCCTGCAACTGGAGGAATACTTACTTCATGGCAGTTTTACCCTGTGAAGCTCCTTAGATATGTTAGCTACTATGATTATTTTATTGCTTCCTGTGAAATCACATTTTGTATTTTTCTTATTGTCTTCACAACACAAGAAGTCCTAAAAATAAAAGAATTTAAATCTGCCTATTTCAAAAGTAGTTGGAACTGGCTAGAATTACTACTTTTGGTGGTAAGTATATGTTCACAGATATGGTTGAAGGGAATCACATCTGAACCCACCAATGAGAGAGGTTTAAAAAGCACCTCCCTCATCCAGGACTTATTTTAAAAGCTTTAAGTATCAATAATAAAATGAACTGTCATAGTACATACTAATGGTGTGCCTCCAAAAGGGAGAAATCTATTTTTTTCTCTCTGATTTGGTCCTTGGCCCGACTAGCATAAACCTAGAGGAATAAGTGATTCCATACATATTATGATTTGTGGGCACAGTAGGTCTCCCTACTCCCACTCAAAAAAATGTATTTCTCTCAGGGCCTCATGTTGAAAATAATGATTCTTTTGGGGCAAGGTCCTTTAAAATGTACTCTTGTATGTTGCCTAAATCTGCTTTCCTCTTTACACTGAATTTTTAAATAGGCAAAAGACAAGCCTAGGCAGAATACTGAAGGGGGGATAAGGTTTGAGCAGCCAGAGCGTAGCTTGTAGGCACAGAGGATGCCACCAGGATTGGGGAAATAATCCTTGAAGAAACTCCAAAGACTGCCCGTTCTTATCACTGGAAAATACTAAAATCAACATAGAGGTGTGGGTAGGGTGGAACAAATCGTAAGAGATTGGTTTTAGGAACAATGAACAAATATTCTGGCTTATACAACCTGATCTTTCACTCTTATTGGCCCTTAGTTATAGCCAATCCAGTATATATATATATATATATATATGTGTGTGTGTGTGTGTGTGTGTGTGTTTTTGGCAGTACGCGGGCCTCTCACTGTTGTGGCCTCTCT